TTTGGGGAGCGTCCTGGTCTTCTTGGTGGAAAGGTACTAATGCAGTGTACCGTAGGGCCAGCCCATGATACATGTCTCTCCCTCGTTCGTCGTTCCATAGGTGTTTTTTTCGGCATCTATTCAACTCCCTACATATACCAGCCCTTCGCTATCGTGAACCGCGCTCTCGTAATTGTCGTAAGACGTATGTCGAACTAGGCCTCAAAGCGGCGGAATCATGACTGAGTGGTGGTATCTTGCCCTAGTATTTCCAGTTAGGTTAATAGGTGCAACGTACTTCATAGATAGGAGTGACTTGATCGAGAAGGAAAGGAAATGATGCGAAAGATATGAAATGCTTCCACCCGTTATCCGCTGCCTCGTCGTTTTATGTTGGAGAGATGTAGTAAGAAGGAAAGATTACATATGTATGTCGAAGGCAAATTATATGTATATTACCAGCAACTTGGTAGGGTGTTTACATATTGACTCATTCCTGGCATCCTAGCACCAACATTTGAACTGATGCATCTTCCCGTGCCGTGGAAGGTATATACTTGCTTACCTAGTAAGTAAATATGTCTATACACTTGCATATATGACGATGTAGTTTCCCGATATGCACGTGTGTGAAGAGCTGAATACACTTTGGTCTAGATTTTATGATATATCATTAATACTACGTACTATAATTCAACATACCTACCCGAGATAAATGATGTCCTGTTCTAATGCTATAATATAGCATATAATCACATTGATCTTATTAGAGTACATAGGTATAAAGCCACGCCGATTTGTTCCAACTTACATACATACCTAATATTCAGCCTACATATCTCTTTACATATGTAGGTACGTGACATGCTGTCAGACAACGCTGCAATACCTAACCAAGGGATGCAGTGTACAGTTCCCCGGGATATGGAAACCATTTATTGAACGGACGATAGGTCGGCGATGAGGAATGCTTGAGGTAAAGGGGGAGGATATCGGTGAACTGGTTGGTTGGTGAGCCGCCTTGCTTTTATAATTGAAAGCAATAATATCCTTATAATTACGCCTCAACTCCAAAGCACAACCCTTGTAATCTGTAAGGATTGTTTGGCACACCATGAATACAGAACCTGAATGGAAGCCTTCCGAGCACGTGGAAGCAATGCATCTGTGATAGTTTATGATTTACGAATAGCAACGCGTTATCAATATAGGTAGGTACCTATATACCTATAGGTCATTTCGAAACCTTAATTCATGCCGGCGCAACGTTCCGGGCCCGAGGTTTGAGCACCGGCATCGGTCTGGTTGCGTAAAAGCACTCATACCCAACGAAAGAGAATCCAAACAAGGCAGTATTGAGGTCCCTGAACCGTAGCTCTCTGCATATTTACGATGATATGATACGACACCAGGGCATGCAGACGAATCTGGAGCATACCTAGTAGATGAGCTGGAGAGGCCGAGGCGAATAAGAAAAGCCTTGGGCTTTATGCGCCAATGTATGCTTTACACTCTATCCTGCATGTTACACTCTATCCTATAGGACTACTGATCCTTTCATCCTCTATAACGATTCGCCTTATACTAAGTGTGATACGTAGAGAAGCAGATTGTGTGCCGGCGGCGGCCAGGCCAACCTAGCTCCAGCAGACCTTGGGCTTACAGACGAAGACGTTTTGGTATTCATGTAGAGAGTAGAATACCCCACACTGTCTGGATAGATGAAAGTGCATCCTACGTTAAGGGAAGCCTCTCAAGGTAAGAGTTAGGCAACCAAAATCGTGATCGTGACTATGATATCAGTATCCTACGAGGCAGATGATTGTCATCAGGCTGTGACGTGACAAGCCGACCACCGGGTCATATGTGCTTCCACATAAATTCATCGATGATATCAATTAGGCTTAGATATGAAGGCTTGCATTTTGCCTCTACTGAGTAACTAACTACATATCCCCCCTAAGGTTATAGGTACCCAGGTACCGAGGTAGGTAGATTAAGTTTTAGACTGTAATCACATGACTACCTTGGTACTTACCATACTCATGTCGGCACTTCGTAGATCGATATGCATGTGCTAATCTTGATCTATGGATAGATCTGAGATTGGTGCGGGTTAATGTGTGTTTGCTTAATGGGTACCAGGCTAAAATAATTAAGGGGGTTCATTTAACCCTAGTGTAGCTACCTAGCTAGGGCCACTGGGTAAGTACCAATAAGCTTAAGAGTGCCCCCTTTTAATTAGCTAGGCCATACACTTGAAGTCCTAAGGCCATTCAGAACTGACAAAGCAACAGAATCCGTCAACAGACTTCGAACGAAGGTAGGTAGCACTTTGGGCGTAATGGGTATACATGTTCCTTTGAAGCCGTGTCAGGTGACACGATGACTCGTGTCTAGGCCATGACAGCATCAAATTTGGTGTTCATGGCGAGTTGCCTGCCTAGTATCTATCCTTGACAGATGCCCTGCTTACCATCTGGCAGGCAGCCTACCAAACTGGAAGCCTTAGGAATCTGTTGAGCACACCCTTCGATTTCTGTTTGCTTAAAAAAAGCCCCGACCACTATAGGGCCCGAAAACGCCAGCCTGGCCGAGTCTGAGTCAAACCATGATTCCCGCTCAGGTACAAGGATAGATCACTAGGTATCTAGGGGTCTGGTAAGGCAACAGAGTCGTCATCTTCGTCTAGGTTCCTATTGATCATTGCTACCTTTAGGTTAAAAAGATCGCCTCCTATACACAATATCAGCTGAAAAATTACCACTCTGACACACCCACTAGACTCCTTTGCGTTTGTGGCTTGCTCACGAGATGCTTCCCGGGACGGTAGATACTATATTATCTAGCGTAGGCAAAATTATGAAATAGCGGTCTAGCAACGATAAGATAGATATCGTACAGTTTAGAAGCATTCCCGAGTAGGCAGACAACGGCGGTTTAATGCAGTGGCGATAATAGACGGGGGATGGACCAATCGTACACGCTTCGCTGGCTTCCATCGAGTCACATGTGACGAACTAGGACCTCGATCTCCTTGCTCACTGGAAAATCATCATCCCGTTTGCCAAAATATATAGGGTGGCTTCGAGATCTAAGTGGTACTTGAATACCCCGATTAAATCACCGAGCTGAACCTTGTAAACAATTCCGAGCAATGAGAATGCCGTGAGAGGTTGCCTCTCCGTCTGGGGTATAAGGGTTAGTGGCTATCAGCAAAGCATTGCCTTGTGGTGATAAAACATACTTGAAGGTGAATGAATGCGCCACGCTCGCCACAGCTAAAGATTCCGAACCTGAAAAGTAAGGCATGGCATAATAGTCTGACATGCGATATAGGAGACCAATAAGGGAGAACAGTAAACCAGTCATAACAAAAATCGATCACTGTGAATGCCATAACCGTGGAATCTAACCCATCGACACAACAAATTGAAGCCCCCAAGGCAATGTGAAGAGCAGCTGGTACTTGCAACCGGGAGGCAAGACAAAGATGGTGTCGGACGCGGGGAGGTGATATGATGCCCACCAAGGATAAAATTCTTTCAAGGCATGTGTGTGAAGAATATGATAATGATTATTCATATCCCAGGTTCTTTGCTCGGGGATGAGTAATATCAGACGCCGCGGAGATACTTATCGAGGGGCCTATCTATCGAAATCCGCAGTCAACAACTTGTGTGTCGTACCCAGCGACATAGTTGATTCAGGATATATGAATCATGCAGTTGACGTTGCCCAAGATGACTGAGCTGCTTCGAGAGAATTCTAGAACATGTCATAGAAGAGGACGACTCCACCAACAAGGTATACGGAAAGGCGAATGCTAGCACCGCCTCATTGTCTGTACTAGCTGAGGTAGTAAAACTGACGACAGATGAAAGATATGACTATGCTCACATGATGTGGCGGATGACTATAACAATACCACCCCTATTTATATAAAATGATATTCACATTCGCCGGTATGCGGTGATGTTCGGAGCTCGGGAAGAACAATTGTCCTGCTTATAACTTAGAAGTCTTGTAAGAATTGAATCAACAGCGCAAATTGATAACTGACCAAATGAGAAATTTGCGCAATGATCTGAACAGGTTAATCGTATGGGAAACCGAAAGATGGGAAACCGGGTGAATTGGTTCACCGACGCCAACGGGGAAATGCGGATAGCATATACGGGACAAGCGGGAGAATTCCTAAGTGCGGCAAAGAGTTAAACGAAGGAGGCAAGAAATATCTGCCGGATGGCGATGGAAAAATCTATCCTTTTTAGCCACTCGACTCAATATTGGTACAAGAACGACACACTACCGTATATTTGAACCAATTCGTGATGGTGGTCCTTGAGTATGTGTATACACCTATGGGGACGTCTCGTTCGGCGACTCCGGAAAGAGGCGAAAATATCAGACTTACGTATGTGGGTGGCTCAAGTCGGCCAATGCGGCTAAAGCAGGTACCTAGATAGATACGAGATATGGACGTTGAAGTTGGTCAAAGATTCTAAGCCTCAATCAGAAAGGATATAGAGAAGTGATGTTGTCTAAGTGACATGAGGCTCTTGTACGGAAGTTGTTTTAAGGCGGTTCTTTGTCGCCGCCCGCTTCCTTGAGCGGCGCGGTCTTCCGAAGGGGCTTCAAATAATTTGGGGGCCGCCCCGGCCGACTTCCAGCCTACATATCATGGTACATAATGTATGACCGATGCAATTATATATCTATGTATATATAGTACATAGGTAGGTAGGTAGGTATTAGAGGGATGTTTGTAAAAGTTATAAAGTGATACCGGTCACTGGTACGAGTTATTATTAATGACCCTACTTACCACAACGTTCGTAATATTCTAAGAATATGTATGTACTAGGTATTATGTAGGTAAGTATCCTAATAGGCATCTCGGCATACATATGGGACAGTCCTACATGTATGTATGTATAGGTAAGGTGGCTACATCATATGAAGTTTGAGCATCGTTACACGTGAGTGAATAGGTACTATGTAGTAGGTATCCATTCAACGTTACCTAGTATAATACACATGTGCATGCAGGCAGTTAGGTACACTTAGTTCCTACACGGACATGTGTTAATAGAGTTTCTTCCGCTTATATTGATCGCCCTGCTCGCACCTAGACTTTGAAGAGCCTACCTTCAGCCACCTGCCTACCCAGCACTGAGCCCTTCTCAATCCCGCATTGAATCTCATCCTAACCTACCTACGTAAGGTACTACTTATAGGGAGCATCTACTCCCCCACGCTCGCCAACCATTGGTATTTAGGTATGTATATACTTTATTATGACTATATATAGGCTTAGAGCGTTTCAATGCTGTGCTCGTTCTTTCTCGGTGTGATATTCTTGTCCTATTTATGTTATTACATTTTAAGTTGCACTTCAGAAGGCCCTTCGTACAATATCTCACTACCATCATTGCCTGCCTGCCTGCCTGCCTGCCTGCCTGCCTCCCAACCTCTCGGCCAACCTCTCGACCTGCCTACTAGGCCTACCTACCTACCATGTCTACTCTGTAGCCCCCTGGATCTTGAGATCAGTATCACACTTGGGACAGATCTAGAGCTTCACCTGCAACTGCTGCCATGAGGATTATTATGGCATTTAGCCTGCCTTCTATTTGCGCGTCGGGCGAAAAAAAAGACGTTTCGCAACCGCAAACAAGTGAAAACTGCCATATTACGATATATTCGGCTTTCGTTTCGGTCGGGCGTTGTGCTATGAAATCGTTGTGTTTGTTGGATATGACGGACGTGCTTAGTGCTTCGTTTCGTTTCTTGTGCTTGTACTTGACTGTGAGATCTCGATAGCCGGCTAACAGGCTAATAAACCAACGAATTAACACAATAATACGTGAGTACCTGAGTTAGTTTTTGAAGCGGCCTGTTTGGCTTCATTCGCAACATAATAGTTTCGCGACATGGTTGAGATGAATTGACGAGGTTTTTGAGTTGAGGAGGGAGTAGAGTGAAGAGAAAGAAAATTTTGACTGACAAGAGGATGCAGGAATCAGGATATCCAGGTATCCAGGTACCTATTGCAAGGTGGGCAGGGTTAGTTAGAGCCGCAAGTGGTGTGCGAACCGTCAAGTGGTTGCCTTATTACTAGGTTAGGTACATATGTAGACTCATCTAGTAAATTTGTCCCTACATATGTAGTATCCATGGATGTATACAGTACTGTAGTATACATGTGCATGTACTAGTACATATACCTGTAGTAGTACTGGGTACATACCTACCTACCTAGTATGTAATTGTAATGTGCGCGACCCATCAACATTACTAGGTACGGATCCCTAATACATACATAAGCTCTACGTCTCCATCGAGTTCACTGACCAAAGCTCCGCAATCATTGAAAATGGAAGCTACTACTCGATCTTGATGCCCAGTTGCTACTTTCGAGTTGATCTTTGAGGCACTTCAACACTATCTCTCTTTATATCAAATTCAACAAACCACACAACATCGCAACATCGCAATAACGCCATAAACCCCACCTTTACATAGCACGACAAAATAGTATGGGAGATCCATACAAGCTATACTACGAGGGGTATACATCACGTCCAATTGTTATTTCTGTTCTGCTTTTCATTTATTTCTCTTCGAATATTCGATGCGCTTAAAACCCTCCCCTCATACTCCTGTGTAAGTCATATATGTTGCAAACTCACTCTTACTCACACATTCGTTCCCAGCTACTTGGGTGACTACCTACCTACCTACCTACCTACCTAGCAGGCAGTAGGCAGTAGGCAGTAGGCAGTAGTCGATGTTCTCAGCACTAACTCACCATTTGTCACAGGTCACAGGTCAGGTCTCGCCTAATCTCTTCCCTGATTAAGCTGGATCCTAGCGCAGAAAACACATTCGCTATTTGAACTACCTACTGCACCGTCCTCATTCTTCAATCCTCATTCTTCATTTACCTCTGGAAATTTTAGCTACACCTAATATCAAATGTCTTTCCTGTAAAGCTGTTGCAGGTATTAATTATTGCCACTTATGCCCCGTGGCAGACAAGGCTTACAGGAAAGAGAACCCCCGGAAGGGCTTTTTATTCTTGATTGTTTGATCGTTTTCACCAGAGTCCGGTAATCAGTTTCCCTCGGGTACCTGGAAAAGGTTATCCCGCCAATATGGCCCAAGATTTTGCTACGTCCTACACAACTTATCTTCGGAAGAGCTCGAAATTCCGTTGTCCCGTTTTCGACTGCGCGGAGTTTGCTGATAACAGGGAACAATTACGAACACATCTACAATCATGCCATCAAGATGTCGTAGAGAAAAAAGATATTAATCTGCTTCTCCAGGAGGCAAAAAGGGGAGGTGGTATTGAAGGAGTGAAGAGGTAATATCTTTTCTTTATAATGAGCTGAAATCAACTAACACTACCTCAGAACAACAACTGACAGGCTGCAACAATCAAGTAGTTCTCAGGATCCCGGGGGCGGGCAAATTGATTCTCCAGGAGATAAAAATGAAGGGAATGACCTTAGCCCTAATAAGAGACGCAAATCTCCTGATTTATCAATAAAGGGGCGGCCCCGGTCTCTGAGTCCCTATAGGAGATCAAGGGCTCGGGTTGTGTCGACCACCCCTAATGACCCTGATTTTAGGAGATCTCCCCAGCAACTGGGGAAACTTTGGAACCCAGACGATGCCACTCCTTTTTCATCGCCGCGGCCCAGGCTGCCACCATCTAGACAGCCAAGAAATCTTCCCACAACTAGGAGGTCAGACACCATCGAAGATGACGAAGAATCTACCAAGATAATCAAACAACCAGAGACACGGCCAATCAGCCAAGAGCAGTTGATTGCTGAAGTCAAGGGGATATATGCAGGCCTAGTCATGGTCGAGTCTAAGTGCATTGAGGTTGATAATGCACAGTCGTCGCAGAGTGAAACAAAACTAAATAATGAGCAATGGCAAGCTCTGATAGCACTACATCGGACGCTTCTTCATGAACATCACGACTTTTTCTTAGCGTCACAACATCCATCGGCAAGCGTGGCTCTTCGTCGATTAGCATCCAAATATGCTATGCCAGCTCGCATGTGGAGACATGGCATTCATTCTTTTCTGGAGTTATTGCGTCACCGGCTACCACATTCACTAGAACACATGCTCACTTTCATCTACCTTGCGTATTCAATGATGGCTCTTTTATATGAGACCGTGCCTGCCTTTGAAGATACTTGGATCGAGTGTTTAGGTGATTTGGGAAGATACAGGTCAGTGGCAACGTAATGCATTTCATCCTACATGACTAACAAGTGTTCTGCATGGTGTAGAATGGCTATCGAAGATGATGATATTCGAGATAGGGAAGTTTGGACCGCTGTTTCTAGACATTGGTACTCGAAAGCTTCGGACAAGGCACCTACGACGGGACGGCTATACCACCATCTCGCAATTCTGGCGCGGCCCAGTCCACTTCAGCAGTTGTATTACTATACGAAGTCTCTATGTGTTCCTATCCCCTTTAGTTCGGCCCGGGAATCTATCATGACTCTATTCGACCCAATACTCGACCCGACGAGTCCCCAGCATTCCCGATTAACGCCAGTCGATGTAGCTTTTGTGAAACTCCATGCGATCCTTTTTAGCAACAAGTTGCCCGATGAGTTTCATCCAACATTGCATACATTTACTAGCACGTTAAATCACCAGATTGGTCGAAATACCAGAAAATGGATGGAGGCAGGGTGCGTGTTATCCTCGTCTCCTATCTGAATTTTGAATCGCACTTACACCACAATAGATATCATATTGCGATTTCGAACTGCTGCGCTCTCTTACTTTATGGCCAGGATGACAGTGTCCTGCTCAAGGCTATTCGCCCTCAACAAGCTGATGAGACAGTTGACTCGAATACTGATAATGGGGAAAGCCTGCCTGAATACAAGCTCAGTAAAAGAGAAGAGGGGGCATGTGAACTTTTTCAGGGCACCAGCAACGTCGTCTTTAATAGAGTCGGTGACTTAAATGTAAGTCACTCCTGGTCATCTACCACCACATACCGTAGTATTTACCTTGGCTTGTTGTGCGGCTGACTCGATAATTCTTCCTAGATCCTTCCCTATCTACACGTGGTGCTTGCTTTCATATTGCACCTCACATACTATCTTAGTGCAATGTCTGTCATTGAGGGAATCATTCCGTGGAAGTTAATTTCCTTGCAACTTAACTCACTTCTTCTCTCTTGTCAAGAATATCCGCAAATACAGGACGAGAAATTTCCTAGGCAAGATAAGGAACCCACACCTCGTCCGTTGCCCGAAGACTTCGCGATGAAAGGTCTGGTCTGGGTAGCTAAATACTTTCCGACTGATTGGTATTCCAATGATAAGATCGATGACGACGAGAAGTACTTCGAGGTTGCCTCCATGACGGACGACCGCAAAATAAGAATTCTTTGGCTTGGATGCCGCATTGCAAAGTTTGGTAAATGGCTTACCTACGACGAGGCAACACATCAATTCGGCGTCGCACCCGAGTACGAGGTAGAGCTTGATAACTTTACTAAAGACGAGGATATTCTGGTCAGCGTTTCGGAGGCGGCGGCTGGGCCAACCTCTCAAGCATCTACGTTGTCAACATTTTCAGCAACTATCTCCGGAAGTACATCTGATAGAGACGATGAAGACATGATGGATGTTGACGAAGCATTGTCATGTAAGCCCATCATTCGCCAATAAGTTACTCAGTCACCTCCCAAAATCCATGAAGAACCTGGGCTACGACACTCGCATGGCATCAATACTCTAAGACCTTATTTCATGAATGGCACACAACAGCAAATAATCTTTTCGACTTTCTATTTAGTTGATTGACTCTGCTTTTGTATTTCGAGCACCTGTATCATTGATTATTGGCCGCCATGTGCTTAGGAAAAAAGGCCGAATTAGGTATACTTTGAGACTGCGGATGGCGTTGATCCTCACCGGTCTTCAGCAGAAAGGTTGGTGTCACATCCTTAATTCATACCCACCCCTTTGATATCCTTTCCTCGTGGGTTTTAGTAATAAGTCTGTATATCTTAAGTCTGTTTGTAACAACACGAGTTTGTGCACACAGTCAGCATATTTGGGAAATATATGTCCTCTTGGCTCCGTTCAACTAAGGCAATCGCTTCGCCATGTAATCGTACGGCTTTGGGTGACCCCGATATCGAGCTACTACTCATCGACCTGTTAAAGGCTCCGGTCTCTACGATTTTAACAGCAACCTTCAGGATCATGGACTGTGGGAGGCTTGAAACCGTATCAACCTGGAAGTAACTAGAAAATTACACAACTAGACAACTGCGCGAACTTCTGGGTTAATTTTCGATCATGGATACGAAGAAAAAGTGATGTCCCTGGCTTGGAATTGGCCGCCTTATTATTCAAAAATAGAAAAGCGCACAGCCTCCACGAGGGGGGGACGAATGCTCGCTGATTGGGCATCCCGGACGCGCAAGGCCAGATGGGACAGGACTGTATAAGGTAGCGCGGGTTCAGCTCGTTCGGAACTTCGTCAACTTAGAATTCCCAATAATGCGACTTCATCTCCAAGTTTCTAGACGCTGTGCGCCTCCTCTGATGTATTACCGCCACGAATCGACGACTTTCCCCCTTTTCGCCCACGAATCATGTTTACTATATATCAGGAGTGGTATTCTTATTGGCGCAACAGCATGTACTAATATCCAAGCATGGGCCTTGTAATAGTTAGTTCAGATAGAAAGTTGAATGCAAATTATAGACATGTTGGGTTGCATTTTATCAGCTAGGGTTGGTCGGCTGGCTGCCTACCTAGGTACCTATTCGGAAGAAGCTGAGATTGGCGAAGCTGGATACTACTGTGTTTACGCGATTGGAGTTATGCCAGAAACGAGGCTTTCAATCACAATGCGCAATGTACATATGTAGAACTTATTCCTATTCCATCTACATATGGAGAAAGCTATATAATGTCATGCATGTCATCCATCGGGGAGTATGTAGTGCAGGGACTCTTACGACATGCACGTCCGGGTGTGTGCCCAGGTGTACGTATATTCCCCAGAGAATGGCCCCCATGGAGCTACATATGTAGTACCTACATGTATGTACGTGGACATGTCGCGAGATATATCCAGTACGGTAATGATACCTAGCCTTACTACCAAGATTTACATAATCAATATAAATAGGAATTTATGCGAACCACTATGTACAAACCTAGTAGTAATAAGTAGATTGAAATTCATTCATGGATGCTGCTGTCCATATGTGCATAGTGCCAGTAATTTACCTAGGTTAATTTATAGTTATAGGAAGCCAAATTAGCATAGTAAGCGCCCAGGCCAGAGGAGGCGCCTCACGGTTCCTATCTGCGCATATACCTACATGTCAGTATGACCCAACTTATCCTACGAACTGGCCGAGATAAGCTTCTACTAGCCAAGTGCCTTTGGTAGATACCTAGCCATGCTCCATCGCGGTAATGGTGCACTGCGCACTTTAAAGAGCTCAGTGTATCAACTGTAGGGTAGGTATAAATATGAGTGCATACCTAGTACAATATATCTCCAACCACCCACCTTGTGACGATACAATAGCACATCCGTACCTAGGGTACGTCAGCCTTTTTGGGGGGTTGGGGGGACATGCAGATAACAGATTCTAAAACCTTTACTGGCTGTTCAAATATACCAACCAAAACCAAGTTGCATTTGAAGCCGTTGCTTTCAATGTTGTCGTTGGCGCTGCGTGTTTCTACCCCCCGGGAACAGCATTATGCGAGGCGCGGGTGGTAACCCAACCTACTTCACTTGGGAGCTGAGGAACTTATGTATCAGAGGCCTCATCAGAGGTCTCATACAGCTTCCTAACCAACATCTAACTCTTTCACCTCTATTATATGCGAGGGTGTGTAAAACTCACCGAAGGCAAGGGACTAGGTTAGGGGGTTAGAAAAAGAATAGGAGGAAGATGAGCAAAGCAATATCTTTGACTGGGGTTGTCCGAATTTCCTATTCCAACCCACCCCCCCCTCCTCCGGGCTCACGAAAGCAGCCAAATTCGTCATCTGCCTAATTATTTTCGTGTAGTTGCCGTATCTCCAACTAGGCAGTTGGCTTTAAGTCCGAAAGGCTTTGTAATCAAAAAAAGTTCAATGCGACCAACCCATTTCGTCTTTTGTTTTCTTTTCTCCGGGAGTTTTTCCACAACGGAAATTCCGAATTGGTCTAGGTATCCGGGGCGCATCATACATAGTAGAGAGAGGAAAGCCGATGGGGAAGGGTAAAGGATCAAAAATTGAAATGGAAACAAGTACATATGTTGCCGTAATTACTTCATCCTAGGTACACAGGGAAGCCCAACATAGATGGAGTAAGTCCATGGATGTAACTACAGTATATGCAGATGGAAGGCAGCGGCTTCTTCGCAGTAGACTTCCGGCAGAGCCGCCAGGGGAATGGTTGGCTGCGCCGTATATATACATGGATGGTTTTGTACAATACATACATAATTGGGTACGGGGATGCATGCACGGTTTGCCTTGATGCCTCTTGAAATATTTGGAGAAAAGCGGCTCAACGGCTTAAGAAACGTCATTGGATGAAGGTCAGGATCGAGGAGGAGAAAGAGAAGGGGGGTATTAAGTGTGTAGAGGATACCGTCACAGCCCTATGACGATTGCGATGATGCTATATATCATGCTATATATCATGCTAAAGATTACGCGCAGGCTCGATTAATTGTCTAGGACATCAACCTGCCTAGATAACCTTATCGGCGGCAAATTAAGGCAGTTGAAAAGGCAGTTGAAATGCGTCAATTGTATTTGCGAAACCCATTTATTAAATACGAAGCGATGGTGGTGGGGCGATTGAAACCACGGGGTTACCACGAGAACAAGAAGGCATCCATGAATACAGCCATGTGGGCTACCTTCGCAAATGCGGAGAGAGAAAAGGGGAAATGGGGCCTTCAATGCTGGGTTACTAATGGGTGATCTAATTCGCACAGACAGCCCCAAAGGGCTGCATACTGGTTGTTGGGTAGTATCTAACATACCTAACTTAGCTAATACCTAATGGGTAAGTATGTAGCCATGGAGATAGGGGAGTAGGCCTTAATATTGTCTTAGACAGGCTGGCTGTGAAGGTGTTTAGCTATAGCAGATTTCTGCACAATCGGCGCATGGGATAAATATCCATATATGTAAATGATGCATTTTCGGTGAGCCTAGGTAGGTACACAGATGTACATCCATATGAGATATTACCTAGCATATCAGCTAGCTACGTATTACGATAATTCTAAAGGTTGGATTGATGAGACGAAGATGAGAAGGTAGGAAGGCAAGGCAGCAGCAAGGCAAGGCTACCTACCCAGGCTTCCCAACTGTCTCATCGTTGTTTGGTTTCAGCCCTTCAGCCCTCTGCCTAACCTAGGTACTACCTAGTACCTACTTATTGCTACCTGCCTATCTTTCCAGGCATTTCACACAAACTACTGAAATAGAAGTGGTGATTCAAAACAAGGGCCGATGATGTGAATCATCAGGATCGGATAATACAGAAGGGCTTTTGTTTTTCACGATGCAACGCGAAAATCATGCGGTACCTATGCTCTCACCGACATAATGCTTCGTAGGAAGCGAGGAATGAACCCCCCGTCTTGCGCAGAAACGAGGCAACCTTAAAAGGAAGCGGCACGACCAGCAAGCTGGCTTACACCTCCATTTTTGGTGGGGTTCGCTGATGAAGATGCTAGTGGGAGTAATAAATTCTCTTCTCTTCTAGAAAAACGGTAAGCAGTGAGAATGGAAGGATTCCGCTACCTATAAGGTATCCTATCTACCTCCCTAGCTACGTCTGATTACCTACCTGGTAAATTAACCCTACATTGGCGCTTTTTTCAATCCCCGAAGATTCGAGTCTTGGGCAAAGATTGGCGAGAATTTATTACCTTTGTGAAGCAGAGGCAACGATAACTCAACAACCGAGATTTCGTCTTATACCCGGGTTCGATTGATCCAATGTCGTGTACGTTTCCCGTGGGTCTGTCCTGTCTGGCCCGTATGTCGGTCGAGTGTGAGAGAGAAGGTGGTGAAACATTTCGCTCCGTTTTGCTTCTTCTGGGCAAGGAGCAACATATCTCCCTGGTAACAGGCGGAGAGATAGGTACTAGGTAGGTGAGGTTGAGTAGGTCAGATAGGTAGATAGGAGTAAGTACCTACTACTTAACATCGCCGACCTGTATACAGGTCTTGTTGCCTTGTGCGACAGAAAATGAACGACGGTGGTACAGTTTCGTTGAACAACCTCCCCTTACTGAATATACCCATTTGCAATCAAGTTAGGACTCGAGAGGTTTGGGAGTACGAAAAGGGAGATGATATCTTGATGGTGTGGCTGGTATTTTTGAAGGGGTGGGGTGCATTGGCTAAGCCCGAGGTGACGACTTCTTAGAGTTCGGGCGGTAGCATAGTGAGATTTATTTTCTTCTCTTTTTTTTTTGGTCACCATCAAGATGATGGTGGTGAGTAAGCGCACGTGGTGTAGTTGTGCGCCTGGTATGGTATTCTTAGGTACCCCACGACAAGCAGGACGTTGCGATGATGAAAGGATGTATAGGTTCTCCAAATTTGCTTATCTGTTAACCGCAAATAGCCACATGAGCCAATTAGTTCTGCCTTGATCGCGTTATCTTACGACCGTAAA